TCATCAAGCCACGGAGCAGGAGGGGAGGACCGAGCCGGCCGGGAGAATAGGGGACATAGAGAGTCAAAGGATGCAGAAAGGGAGGAGAGGAGGGTTGAGGAGGCAGAATCAGGAGATTGGAGGGAGAAGGATTGAGCAGAGGGAAGAGATGATAGGATGGAAGAGGAGAGAGTAGTGGGAGAGAGAGAGCGAAGGTTGCGACGGCGCATTACCATCTGAGTAGGGGCAGAGTGAGTAGTGTTGGAGGAGAGCGAGAGAGAAAAGGATACAAAGTAGTGGTCGGAGACATGGAGGGGAGTTGCAGTGAGATTAGTAGAAGAACAGCATCTAGTAAAGATGAGGTCAAGCGTATTGCCTGCCTTGTGAGTAGGGGGGGACGGTGAGAGGGTGAGGTCAAAAGAGGAGAGGAGTGGAAAGAAGGAGGCAGAGAGAAATTAGTCAAAGGTAGACATAGGGAGGTTAAAGTCACCCAGAACTGTGAGGGGTGAGCCATCCTCAGGAAAGGAACTTATCAAGGCGTCAAGCTCATTGATTAACTCTCCAAGGGAACCTGGAGGGCGATAAATGACAAGGATGTTAAGCTTGAATGGGCTAGTGACTGTGACAGCATGGAATTCAAATGAGGAGATAGACAGATGGGTCAGGGGAAAAAGAGAGAATGTCCACTTGGGAGAGATGAGGATTCCTGTGCCACCACCCCGCTGACCAGATGCTCTCGGGGTATGCGAGAACACATGGTCAGACGAGGAGAGAGCAGTAGGAGTAGCACTGTTTTCAGTGGTAATCCATGTTTCCGTCACCGCCAAGAAGTCGAGGGACTGGAGGGTAGCATAGGCTGAGATGAACTCTGCCTTGTTGGCAGCAGAACGGCAGTTCCAGAGGCTGCCTGTGACCTGGAACTCCACGTGGGTGGTGCGTGCAGGGACCACCAGGTTAGAGAGGCAGCAGTCACGTGGTGTGAGGCGTTTGTATAGCCTGTACGGAGAGGAGAGAACAGGGATAGACAGAGGCATAGTTGACAGGCTACAGAAAATGGCTACAATAATGCAAAGGAGATCGGAATGAAATGAACTAAACATCTGGGAAAGGAGAGAGTGGGGCCTCCCTCACTTACGTTTCACTGAAACACCCAAATATAACTCTCCCAACTTCCACCTCAGAAACTATAATTGTTGTAAACTACAGCGGTTCAATGTTTTCTAGGAATAGACTAACTTAGTTTATTCAGCTAGCTAACTTGGTACAGTATTCTTCCGTGAAAATCGTCCAGGGCACCTAGTCATATGATGCCACAGCCAACTAGCATGCCGGACTCCAACAACACGGTTTAGCTCCAATACTCAGCCACGACAAACCACCAGTGTGTCAACACGCCAAGCAGATCATTCGTGTCCGTGTCTAACGTTGTGGGTTAGTCCCGACAGCTTGAGCGAGTCCGTCGTCAACTTATTCAGCCAGTTAGTTAGCTAGAATAGTTAGCATACTAGCTAGCCATTGCTTTCAGACAAAGAAGAAACCCCTCCTCCCACGGCATGAACACACAGAGAGAGCCAAGCTAACGTTAACTAGTCACCCATGTCCCGAATTCCCTTGAACGACTCTGGCTACCAGTATGTAAAAAACAAAACACAAATGTAGGTTATAACTTACCCCTAGCAGCTATTGTTAGCTAGCCAAGTGCAAAGCTAGCCACTCAATTGACTCAGCCAGTTCGCGTCTGTTCGCTAGGTCGTTCCAGCCATTGTTTAGTAGCTATCCAGGTAGCAACAAGCTAGGTTAGAAAAACAGCTGAATGGTAGGCATTATTGTATGTAATTATTGTAGGCAGCTAGCTGGCGTAATTACAGGTACTCTCAGGTGTGAAACAACTATCCACAGTTGCAAATAGTTACCAGTAGCTACCCGCTAGCTAGTCCAGGTAGTGGGTTAGCTAGCTTCGTGCTTCACCGGGCTCAGCCGAATACAATACTAACCTACAATAATTACATACAACAACCCACGATAACTACCTACAATACCTAACTACAATCTAAATACATAGTTTAAGCTTTACTCAACAAAGCCCAAACTATGTATATAAGCCATATAAGCCAAGCTTACCTCCCGCCAGAGAGAGACACAACCTCACCCGACGACGATATTAGTACCTAATATGAAGTGTGGAAAGATGAGGAAGTGGGGCAATATACAATGATGTATCCTAATTATGAAACCACCATCGCATTCATCTTACAAATGAGACCTTCCAACGGCCCACCGGATACTGAATCCTGGGCTGTGTCCCAAATGGCACACTATTCCCTATATAGGTGCCAGGCAAGGTGAAAAATCTGTTGATGTGCCCTTGAGCAAGGCACTTAACCCAATTTTGCTCCTGGGGCACATACTACGCTGTCTGACCTTGTAAAACAACTATCATGTGTATGTGACAACAAACATCTTCTTCTTTTTTTATGGGGGGGGGGGGGCTCGTCAAAAGTAATGTACTACATAGGTAAGGGTGCCATTTGGGACGCAGCTGTGCAAAAAAATATATAAAAATGAAAAAAACATAATGTGACTACAAAAGATACATAACTGTAAAGATGGATGGTATATTCAAATATATGTCTTATTTACATGTATAATGTCAGTCACGTTATACATATACTGGGTATTGTTCATGTTGTCATTACAGATACTGTTCAATATACATGAAGTATTTATTTAATGTTCATACATAATTTGGTTATATATTATGTTATATGTCAGTGTGGGTATAACGATATTGTTGTCTTTGGCCTGGTGAATCTGAGTGACAGATGAAGACAGACATATTAGCAGATGTGTGTCTGTAGAGACAAAGCCATTGATTGACAAGAGCAATAAAGACCCATCAAGACCAATCACAGAGAATAGGATTTATTACTCAATTCAGCTAGCTACAAAATGTTTCACCACTTCACAAACTGACAGGATACAAAGGGAGTTTTAATACTACATGCGTTTTGAGGACATCAATCTCACAATTGAATCTATTGTGTCGTTCAGAGAAGGTCTTTTTTTATTCATTTCATTGTAACTACTTAACATCTCGGCGATTTGGTGTGCATAGCTCTAAAAGTACAGAAGCAAACAAAAAAACATTTGTTTTTTGTTTCAGAATATTATTATTATCATATTCATATTATTTAGTTAGCATTATTATTTTACCATTAATAAACCACACGGGGATATTAAACTAACAGCATACAGTCTTCTTATAAAAGTAAGGGCTCTCAGAAATACGAGTCTTTGCTTTACATTGCAAACAATGTTTTTTTCAATTTTTTCCCAGAGCATCCAAAACCTATGATACAGTACCCAACCAGTCCCCCACCTTTCAGCACATATTCAATATCTTCAGTGAACTGCATATTCATTTCGAAAAAACAAGTCCTCATTTTTTCATGATAATCTCTTTACGTTAAGATCGTTTTGCATTATTTTACAATGATGGTCACAGTCTGCAAATATACTGTATTTTGACAGAAATAGTGGCACTTTTGCAAACTTGCAGGAGAGTATGGATCGTTCAACTGTGTCCTAATACTGAGCATGCTTTTGTCAACTTTGCTACTGAGATGTTATTGTTTATACACAGTGTACAAAACATTAGGAACACCTGCTCTTTCCATGACATAGACTGACCAGGTGAATCCCGGTGACAGCCATGATCCCTTATTGATGTCACTTGTTAAATCCACTTCAATCAGTGTAGATGAAGGGGCGGAGACAGGTTAAAGAAGGATTTTTAAGCCTTCAGAAAATTGAGACATGGATTGTGTATGTGTGCCATTTAGAGGGTGAATGGGTAAGACAAAAGATTTGAACGTGGTATGGTAGTAGGTGCCAGGCGCACCGTTTTGAGTGTGTCAAGAACTGCAGTGCTGCTGGGTTTTTCACGCTCAACAGTTTCCCATGTGTATCAAGAATGGTCCGCCACCAAAAGGACATCCAGCCAACTTGACACAACTGTGGAAAGCATTGGAGTCAACATGGGCCAGCATCCTTGTGGAACGCTTTCGACACCTTGTAGAGTCAAAAGGGGTGCAACTCAATATTAGGAAGGTCTTCCTAATGTTTTGTGCACTCAGTGTATATATCTTTAAGACAAAAAAAGGTACCTTTTGTCATACAGAACGCACATTTCACATCACTTGGAACGCAATGTCTATTACAGCAAATCTAGTTGCACATTGTCTGAACAGTAATGAACCAAAGACAGTGATTGTACATGAGTGCTTTTTGAATTTACTATAACTTGTTATCATCTTGTTTTTTCCCTCTTCTTCATTCGTCATGAAAACATCAAAATAAGGAGCATGACAGTAGCTGATGGAATGACACAGTTTTACTAAGACGATACTGAGATACTGAAAAGGAAAACAGCTTGTATAGCGTTCCTATTATATTTGTCATCCAGCAGTGTACCTTTAAATATACAGGTAGCTGCCAAAATAAAGGAAACACCAACATAAAGTATCATAATAGGGCGTTGGGCCACCACAAGCCACCAGAACATTTTGAGTGCGCCTTGGCATTGATTCTACAAGTGTCTGGAACTCTGTTGGAGGGATGCGACACCATTCTTCCACAAGAAATTCCATCATTTGGTGTTTTGTTGATGGTGGTGGAAAACGCTGTCCCAGGCGCCACTCCAGAATCTCCCATAAGTGTTCGATTGGGTTGAGAACTGGTGACTGATACCGCCATGGCATATGGTTTAGATAATTTTCATGCTCATCAAAACGTTCAGTGACCACTCGTGCCCTGTGGATGGGGTCATTGTCATCCTGGAAGAGACCACTCCCATTACGATAGAAATGCTTCACCATAGGTTGACGGTGATCTCTCAGAATGGCTGTGTATTTATTGGCGTTTACCTTGCCCTTGAACGGGTTGAATGGACCTAAATCATGCCAGGAAAATGCACCCACACCATAACAGAGCCGCAAGAACCCTAATTTACTCACGTGTTTCCTTTATTTTGGCAGTTACCTGTTTTTACTATATTTGATAAAGAGAATAAAAACTTCACAAGTGAGCTAGAGCCATCGAGTCAGCACTATATACAACCTTTGGAAAGAATTATACAGAGTATAAGAAATATTTTATTTTACGAGGACAATCATTGAAAAAGACAGACAAACGATACACAGAACAACATTTACAATGTGGGGAGGTGATATATGCACGTGTGCAAACATAGAAAGTAAATACTATGATAAAAGCATGTTTGCGCCCTGTGATAAACTGCACTTGTGGGAAAAGCAACATGCTCCGGGAGTTTAGCCACTGCCCAGCATCTTAGTGGCCCGCTGGTTGGCTTCGTCAATCCTGGTCTTGTTAGAATCAGCCTGCAGAAGGAGAGAGAGAGAGAGAGAGAGAGAGAGAGAGAGAGAGAGAGAGAGAGAGAGAGAGAGAGAGAGAGAGAGAGAGAGAGAGAGAGAGAGAGAGAGAGAGAGAGAGAGAGAGAGAGAGAGAGAGAGAGAGATAGAGAGAGAGAGAGAGAGAGAGAGAGAGAGAGAGAGAGAGAGAGAGAGAGAGAGAGAGAGAGAGAGATACATTAGTTATTTGTGGTTCTGTTTGTTTTCTTTTGGAACATTTTGCAGATAATATATGTAGATAATGGCATTTTGAGATGTGAGGCTATTGAGTCTTGGTTGTCATGTGATGTCAACAAATATTTGAACAACAACTCCTAATAATAGCAGATAGAGAATAAAAGACAAATTGAGGACCAATAGAGGACCAATAGAGGACTAACACAGACGTGGACATCGATTAAGGCAGCCCCCCGCACCTCTCTGATTCAGAGGGGTTGGGTTAAATGCGGAAGACACATTTCGGTTGAATTAATTCAGTTGTACAACTGACTAGGTATCTCCTTTCCCTTCCTTTTCCCAATACAGGGCCAATAGAGGACCAATAGAGGACCAACACAGGGCCAATAGAGGACCAATAGAGGACCAATAGAGGACCAACACAGGGCCAATAGAGGACCAATAGAGAACCAATAGAGGACCAATAGAGGACCAATAGAGGACCAATACAGGGCCAATAGAGGACCAGTAGAGAACCAATAGAGGACCAATAGAGGACCAACACAGGGCCAATAGAGGACCAATAGAGAACCAATAGAGGGCCAATATAGGGCCAATGGAGGACCAATAGAGGACCAACAGCAGTACCTTCTCCATGATCCTGTCGATCTGGCGATTCTGGGTGTCGATCTCGTTGCCCATATCCAGAGCCATGTGACGCAGGTTACCGATGATGCCTCCCACCTGCTCCAAGTTCTCATCCATCTCATTTTCCCGGGCATCATCTGTTACCCTGTGGAAGAAACACAAACACACCTGGTTTAGAAACTGAATTTAGGCTTGCACGCATTCAAACAAACACGCAGTCATAAACGCTCGCGCACACACACACACACACACACACTCACATACACACACACACACACACAGTTGTTTTTCTATCCTTGTGGGGACATGAAATTCATTTCCATTCAATATCCTATTTTCCCTAACCCCTAAACCTAACCCTAACGCCTAACCCTAATTCTAACGCTAATTGTAACCCTAACCCTAAACCTAACCCTTAAGCTTAAAATAGCTTTTGTCCTTGTGGGGGCTTGGGAAATGTCCTAACAAGGGAGAATTTTGGGGGACTTTTGGGGATTTCAGGTACCCACATTGATAGAAGAACAAGACCACACACTGCATATTGAATAATATAATTCATTAAGGTAGCCATACATATTTCACCTTTGATTTCTCCTCCTTTGGGGACCTTAGCCTCCTGCCAAAACAGCTGGCAAAACAACACCCTGTTTACCCTCTTAAAATCAGCCAACAAACCCTCTACCCCCCCCCCCCCCCCCCCCCCCCCCCCGCCAAATCAGCAGATGGTACAGTGGCTTGCGAAAGTATTCACCCCCCTTGGCATTTTTCCTATTTTATTGCCTTACAACCTGGAATTAAAATAGATTTTTGGGGGGTTTGTATCATTTCATTTACACAACATGCCTACCACTTTGAAGATGCAAAATATGTTTTATTGTCAAACAAACAAGAAATAAGACCAAAAAACAGAAAAAGCGTGCATAACTATTCACCCCCCCCCCCCCCCCCCCCCCCCCCCCCCCAAAGTCAATACAGCTGCAAGTTTCTTGGGGTATGTCTCTATAAGCTTGGCACATCTAGCCCCTGGGATTTCTGCCCATTCTTCAAGTCAAGGCAAAACTGCTCCAGCTCCTTCAAGTTGTATGGGTTCCGCTGGTGTACAGCAATCTTTAAGTCATACCACAGATTCTCGATTGGATTGAGAATTTAAATGTTTCCCCTTAAAACACTTGAGTGTTGCTTTAGCAGTATGCTTAGGGTCATTGTCCTGCTGGAAGGTGAACCTCTGTCCCAGTCTCAAATCTCTGGAAGACTGAAACAGGTTTCCCTCAAGAATTTCCCTGTATTTAGCGCCATCCATCATTCCTTCAATTCTGACCAGTTTCCCAGTCTCTGCAGATGAAAAACATCCCCACAGCATAATGCTGCCACCACCATGCTTCACTGTGGGGATGGTGTTCTCGGGGTGATGAGAGGTGTTGGGTTTGTGCCAGACGTAGCGTTTTCCTTGATGGCCAAAAAGCTCAATTTTAGTCTCATCTGACCAGAGTACCTTCTTCCATATGTTTGGGGAGTCTCCCACATGCCTTTTGGCAAACACCAAACGTGTTTGCTTATTTTTTCTTTAAGCAATGGCTTTTTTCTGGCCACTCTTCCGTAAAGCCCAGCTCTGTGGAGTGTACGGCTTAAAGTGGTCCTATGGACAGATACTCCAATCTCCGCTGGGGAACTTTACAGCTCCTTCAGGGTTATCTTTGTTCTCTTTGTTGCCTCTCTGATTAATGCCCTTCTTGCCTGGTCCATGGATTTTGGTGGGTGGCACTCTCTTGGCAGGTTTGTTGTGGTGCCATATTCTTTCCATTTTTTAATAATGGATTTAATGGTGCTCCGTGGGATGTTAAAATTTTCGGATATTTTTTTATAACCCAACCCTGATCTGTACTTCTCCACAACTTTGTCCCTGACCTGTTGGAGAGCTCCTTGGTCTTCTTGGTGCCGCTTGTGTCACACCCTGGCTCTGTGACTCTATATGTTGAGCCAGGGTGTGTTCATTCTATGTGTTCTGTTTCTTTGTTTGGGTGTTCTAGGTTGTCTGTTTCTATGTTTGCCTGTGTGACTCCCAATCAGAGGCAACGAGTGTCAGCTGTCGGCTGGTTGTCTCTGATTGGGAGCCATATTTAATCGGTATGTTTTCCCTTGGGTGTTGTGGGTTTTTGTTCCGTGTCGGTATTTGTTTACCGTGGACTTCACGAGTCGTGTTTTGTTTTGGTATACTTTAACTAATTAAAGTCATGTTTGTTTCACACGCTGCGCCTTGGTCTACTCACTCATACGACGATCGTGACAGAAAAACCCACCATACCAGGACCAAGCAGCGTGTCCAGGAACACACGCAGGAGGTGACTCTTGTGGATGTCCTCCTCGGTTGGGGGCAGATTACTGAGGAGGAGGCCGTCCGGTACCGGAAGGCGATAAAGGGGGAGACCCAGGCAGGAGAGGAGCAGCGGCGCCAAACGGGTCAACGTCGGATAGGCGAGAGGCAACCCCAATAAATTTTTAGGGGGGGGCACACGGCATGGGCGACTGGGCAGCAGGAGGCTGCCACAGGGCGAAATGGGAGACGAGGAGAGAAGGCCACCGGGTTACGGGAGCCATTGGCGAGAGGAGGGAAGGAAGTTGTAGAGGCACGGCGAGAGGTACTGAGGTGTATTGCCAGTCCGGTCCGGCCCGTTCCTGATCCCCGTTTAAGGCCAGTGGTGTGTGTTCCCAGTACGGTCCGGCCTGTTCCTGCTCCACGCACCAAGCCTACGGTGTGCGTCGCCAGCCCAGTCCGGCCTGTCCCTGCTCCACGCACCAAGCCTACGGTGTGCGTCGCCAGCCCTGTCCGGCCTGTCCCTGCTCCACGCACCAAGACTACGGTGTGCGTCGACAGCCCAGCCCGGCCTGTCCCTGCTCCACGCACCAAGCCTACGGTGTGTGTCGACAGCCCAGCCCGGCCTGTTCCTGCTCCACGCACCAAGCCTACGGTGTGCGTCGCCAGCCCTGCCCGGCCTGTTCCTGCTCCACGCACCAAGCCTACTGTGTGCGTCGACAGCCCAGCCCGGCCTGTTCCTGCTCCACGCACCAAGCCTACGGTGTGCGTCGCCAGCCCTGTCCGGCCTGTCCCTGCTCCACGCACCAAGCCTACGGTGTGCGTCGCCAGCCCTGCCCGGCCTGTTCCTGCTCCACGCACCAAGCCTACGGTGTGCGTCGACAGCCCAGCCCGGCCTGTCCCTGCTCCACGCACCAAACCTACGGTGTGCGTCGCCAGCCCAGCCCGGCCTGTTCCTGCTCCACGCACCAAGCCTACGGTGTGCGTCGCCAGCCCTGCCCGGCCTGTCCCTGCTCCACGCACCAAGCCTGCGGTGTGCGTCGCCAGCCCTGTCCGGCCTGTCCCTGCTCCACGCACCAAGTCTACGGTGCGCGTCGCCAGCCCGGTCCGGCCTGTTCCTGCCACTCGCACCAAGTCTACGGTGCGCGTCGCCAGCCCGGCCCGGCCCGTTCCTGCCACTCGCACCAAGCCAGGGGTGCGAGTCGTCAGTCCGGCACAACCCGTGCCTGGGTCATCGGTGCCAATTCAGGTACCGCTCTACTGCTCCACTAAGGAGCTGAAGCCTACCGCTCCTGCTACGTCCAGTCCAGCTCCAGCCAGCGGGGCCAGACCGGACCAGGGGCGCTATGGGGGGTTTGTTGGAGGGTGGTGGGCAAGCCCGGAGCCGGAGCCGCCGCCGAGGAGGTATGCCCGCCCAGCCCTCCCCTGTTTTGCTTTAGTTGAGGCGCGGTCGCAGTCCGCGCCTTTAGGGGGGGGGTACTGTCACACCCTGGCTCTGGGACTCTATATGTTGAGCCAGGGTGTGTTCATTCTATGTGTTCTGTTTCTTTGTTTGGGTGTTCTAGGTTGTCTGTTTCTATGTTTGCCTGTGTGACTCCCAATCAGAGGCAACGAGTGTCAGCTGTCGGCTGGTTGTCTCTGATTGGGAGCCATATTTAATCGGTATGTTTTCCCTTGGGTGTTGTGGGTTTTTGTTCCGTGTCGGTATTTGTTTACCGTGGACTTCACGAGTCGTGTTTTGTTTTGGTATACTTTAACTAATTAAAGTCATGTTTGTTTCACACGCTGCGCCTTGGTCTACTCACTCATACGACGATCGTGACAGCTTGCTTGGTGGTGCCCCTTGCTTAGTGGTATTGCAGACTCTGGGGCCTTTCAGAACAGGTGTATATATACTGAGATCATGTGACAGATCATGTGACACTTAGATTGCACACAGGTGGACTTTATTTAACTAATTATGTGACTTCTGAAGGTAATTGGTTTCACCAGATCTTATTTAGGGGCTTCAGAGCAAAGGGAGTGAATACATATGCACGCACCACTTTTCCGTTATTTATTTTTTAGAATTTTTTGAAACAAGTAATTTTTTTCATTGCACTTCACCAATTTGGACTATTTTCTTTATGTCTATTACATTACATGAAATACAAATCAAAATCCATTTAAATTACAGGTTGTAATGCAACAAAATAGGAAAAAACGCTTTTGCAAGGCACTGTAACTACTGCCCCCCACCCCTGTACTCCCTACTTGCAAACACACCTTTATATCTGCATTATGGACATTGTTCCTGACCGCCACCATTATCTCTTTACCACCCTCTCCCTATCTCCATACCTGCAGATATTCTGCCTCCCATCAAACTCTTCTTTCCCTACAGCTCCCCCAAACCGAAACAACTGGATATCCCTGCCCCCTACTTTAACCACCAACCCACCCGGTCCCTCCACGGCCCCCTCCCTCACCTGCGAATGAATCCTCCACTGATGGCCATCTGTTCGCGTTCATCCACCACACGGGCAGGCTGACTGGCTACCACCCCATCCTGGTTGTTCCCCCAAGCCTTGCTGCCTCCACTCTTCATCCTGGGGTGGACCAAGGAAGAGGAGGGTGAGGCTTAATTACTACTAGATATATTATCTATCAGGTGTAGCTGTATCATCATGCATTAATCCGCCACATAGAAATATGAGAAACAGGTCGAAGACTATAGAGACTAACCAAGCAAAGCAGAGAGAGCAGGCATGGGTTTGATCATTCTCTAGTTTTAACATTGTTAGTGTGATGTGATGTTATATCTCGATTGTATATAACATACTGTACTCAGGTAAGTTTCGTATGCTGAGACACATACCTTTTCCCAGCTGAAAAATGTGACCTCTTAAGTAATAACATGCATTTTGTAAACAACAGTTGGGATTACTCATTTTGTGCCACCCCCCCCCCCCACAATGGTATCTCCCAGGTTGCATCTGAAATGGCACCCTATTCCCAAAACACATCAACTGCTTTTGGGAATAGGGTGGCATTTAAGATGCAGCCTCAGTGTGACTATATGTGACAGAGAACAGAGAGACAAGGGTTTGGCAGACAGACAACATAGAGTAACAGGACTGGACTGCCACATCGTTTGGGGAAGAACTGCAAAAGAAAACAAACCTGAGGGACATAACAGAACGTAACCCCCTACTGAAGAGTACGCTTCTTTTTTAATATCAAGTATCTTTCTCACGTTGTGAATCTATCTAGTAAACATAGGATATCAGGTAGCGTTAAAGGGATACTTCGGGATGTTGGCAATTAATCTACTTCCCCAGAGTCAGATGATCTCATGGATACCATTTGTATGTCTCTGCATCCAGTATGAAGGAAGTTAGAGGTAGTTTTGCGAGCCAATGCTAACAAGCATTAGCGCAATGACAGGATGTCTATGGTATCTACTAGCATGCTAGCAGTTATCATATACTTCCCGGGTGGCGCAGTGGTCTAAGGCACTGCATCGCAGTGCTAGCTGTGCCACTAGAGATCCTGGTTTGAATCCAGGTCGTAGCCAGCCGCGACCGGGAGACCCATGGGGCGGTGCACAATTGGCCCAGGGTAGGGGAGGGAATGGCCAGCAGGGATGTAGAGCATGGCGTTTGCAACGCCTGGGTTGTGGGTTTGATTCCCATGGGGGGCCAGTATGAAAAATAATGTATTCGCTCACTAACTGTAAGTCGCTCTGGATAAGAGTGTCTGCTAAATGATGTAAATTTAATGGTACTAACACTAGTTAGCAATTGCGCTAATGCTAGTTAGCAACTTCCTTCAAACTGCACGCAGAGGCATAAAAATGGTATCCACGAGTTGATATGACTCTGGGGAAGTAGATGAAGAGCTTCTTTGCTAAAATCCGGAAGTATCCCTTTAAGGTCGATCAGTGAACAGTGCATTATTAAAGCCATTTTAGTCAGATGAAATTTTTTTGTCTTCCTCTATTTCAGGGGGTAAATAATATTTATGCTATACCTGTAGCGCCTTGAGTGCGAGAAATGCCCTTTATAAATCAAATGTAATATTATTATTAGTAGCAGTACTTACAAATATTGCAGATTAACCAAGATGATTTTAAAACTAATTATATAGCTGTATCTATATTTGTTATGTACTCTGTCTGACAGAGATCTAAACATGACAGGGATCCTCTATGGTGGCTAAGGAGGCCCTGGGTGAGTCTATGCTTCAGGCTCCTTTTAATGAGTCTATAAGTACACTGCAGTAGTCAAGATATTAACCACCATCACAAACGGTCTGTCTGTGTGAAATGTATGTCATACACACTTTTGTATGCAATTATTAATTTTGATAACATGGAGCATGAGAGGACCCTGAGTTATCATGTCTGTCTTTACTTATCTTTCTTTCCTCTCCCTAAAACCATGTCTGGCTTTCCTCTAAGTAACCAAATGGCTTGGTTGGATTAAGCCTTTCAGTAACCTCGGAGCCCGGGGATGGTAGATATTTCTTGTTTTATCAAACGATAGAGAAGATGGCTGATTCTGAGCCCGCCCACTGAGCTCGTATTTATAGAAATGGACTGAGGCGATGATTACAGAGACCACTGTGGTAAACACACACAGTCAGGCACACTGGTTAACTCTGCTCTGCTCCTACATTCACTCGACTCAGTTATGTTATACAATTTGTTTTACAAGCAACAGTTAGGTTATCCAATTCTTTCGACATGACATTTGCAACTTTCTCTACCACTCTCTCGTTTTATAAGGTAAAAATGTGTTTTTTTGTGAGAAACTCCCAAGTCCCTGATCAGAATTAACCTGTTTTGGTAACACATACCGTATACCCTCCATCGACTTAGAACTCTATCTATTTGGATATGATGTAAATCAGACAACAAGAGAGACATCTAATCAGTGTTAACTCTTTTGAGCCACAGGCTGATAAAAAATGTAAGCTCAATTTCATATGATTGGATGTGGAATGAGAAAAAAGAGACCTACAGCACAGGCTAAATCCAGTGTCTTGTCTCCAGTATTGATCTAGAGATCTAGAATGTAGCCCTTGGTTTCAGTCATCAGGCGATCTTGCCTACAGTATATATGATCTGGCTGACCTAGATCTGAGCTGCTTCCCTGGGGCTGCATGGGAAGAAGGCAGCACACAGTTACCACAGTGCACTGTGGGAGTGGTGGTAGGCTACTGCATAGGCAACACAGCGTGGTATCCACTCGTTTTTAGAATAATCATTTTGTTTTAGCAGCCTATTTTAACCTGTTTGTCTCTCTCTCTTCCTATACAGTACAAGCACTTTGAGGTTTTTCTGTATGAAGTGCATAAATATGAACGTTATTTTATGTTTATTATAATTACCATCATTACTGATTATCCCTTATTCTCAATTTTCCAGTTGCTTCAATAATAGTGGCAAATTAATCTGAGGACCCAATTATATGACCAATAACAGGAGTTCATCATGAACATCAGCATCATTTTTTCATCATGTGTACCATTACTATGAGTTGCATTTTCAGCATGCATGGCATTCAAGGGACATGCTCTCCAGTCATTCCAGTCAGTAGTCATTCGTGGGTTGGGTGTGCAGCGTTCACAGTGGCAGGGAGAGAGACAGAGGTCTGTCTGCGTGACATGCAACTACTGATCTATTCTACAGATCTCAGGTTATTTGGGTGTCTGACCATGTTGTATTTACATGCAGATGAGGAAAAGTGACAAGCAGTCCTGGAATCTTATAGTGGCTTAGATAGTAACTATAGTGGCTTTGATAGTCTGGCAAGAGTAGGAAGGAGAATGGTGCTGTTCTATATACTCGGACTGTTATGTAAGCGTGCTGACGATACGTTCGCTTGGATGAGAAGGGCACTTGGAGAAGGGTACTTCAAGAAGGGAACTTAGAATATGGTGCTTGGAGAAGGGTGCTTGGAGAAGCCCCTGCTGATGAGTTTTGGCCTGGTCTAAGTGGAGGAGAGTTTGGTTTGCGGATGGATAGGAGTCAAGACTTTTGGTGGGTTGGTGTGTTCTGGGGCCATAGAAAGCATGTCCTGGCATTAAAAGTTAGGGACGGCAAGTGTTTGGACATTTGTGGGCAGTATTCAGCTTGGCTATTATGCTGTTGAAGGGAACTCAGATATACTCTACATGCTGTATAAGCTAACAGTGCATTGTTAAGGGGTTGAAACCTCCATACACTGTTCTCCCACCCTGGTTGAGTGTTGGCTGTGACAGATGGGCCTGTGGGGAGCTCCCGAGCCAAGTCTGCGGATTCCGCAAAATATTCTGGGATATGTCTGGAGGCCTGTCCGGAGAATTACCAGAGCGAGACCCATGAAGACCTGAGGCTCCTGTCAGTCACCACTGTCTGTGTGCGTGCGTGGTGTGTGTGTATGTGTGTACAGAACGTGTGCGTGACAGCATGTCTTGTGTGTATGTGCGCACATACAGTGGGGAAAAAAAGTATTTAGTCAGCCACCAATTGTGCAAGTTCTCCCACTTAAAATGATGAGAGAGGCCTGTAATTTTCATTATAGGTACACGGATCAGTCGTCCTGGTCCCTTTGCAGAAAAACAGCCCCAAAGCATGAAGCTTTCCACCCCCATGCTTCACAGTAGGTATGGTGTTCTTTGGATGCAACTCAGCATTCTTTGTCCTCCAAACACGATGAGTTGAGTTTTTACCAAAAAGTTCTATTTTGGTTTCATCTGACCATATGACATTCTCCCAAACTTCAGACGGGCCTGGACATGTACTGGCTTAAGCAGGGGGACACGTCTGGCAATGCAGGATTTGAGTCCCTGGCGGAGTAGTGTGTTACTGATGGTAGGCTTTGTTACTTTGGTCCCAGCTCTCAAGCAGGTCATTCACTAGGTCCCCCCGTGTGGTTCTGGGATTTTTGCTCACCGTTCTTGTGATCATTTTGACCCCACGGGGTGAGATCTTGCGTGGAGCCTCAGATCGAGGGAGATTATCAGTGGTCTTGTATGTCTTCCATTTCCTAATAATTGCTCCCACAGTTGATTTCTTCAAACCAAGCTGCTTACCTATTGCAGATTCAGTCTTCCCAGCCTGGTGCAGGTCTACAATTTTGTTTCTGGTGTCCTTTGACAGCTCTTTGGTCTTGACCATAGTGGAGTTTGGAGTGTGACTGTTTGAGGTTGTGGACAGGTGTCTTTTATACTGATAACAAGTTCAAACAGGTGCCATTAATACAGGTAACGAGTGGAGGACAGAGGAGCCTCTTAAAGAAGTTGTTACAGGTCTGTGAGAGCCAGAAATCTTGCTTGTTTGTAGGTGACCAAATACTTATTTTCCACCATAATTTGCAAAAAAATTCATTAAAAATCCTACAATGTGATTTTCTGGATTTTATTTTCTCAATTTGTCTGTCATAGTTGACGTGTACCTATGATGAAAATGACAGGTCTCTCTCATCTTTTTAAGTGGGAGAACTTGCACAATTGGTGGCTGACTAAATACTTTTTATCCCCACTGTATGTGTGAGTGTGTGTGTGAACATGTCTTATGCCATCATGCCCCTCTTGGTTCTGGCTGAGCCATTGAGCGTGGAGGTCAGAGGATTGATGGGAGGAGTCAGCATGGTTAGAGCTGGAGCAGACTAGCGCACTACTGGCCACTATGACGTCACTTCTACCTTGGTTTTAATGGCAGGCAGGCAGGCAGGCAGGCAAGCAGCACCTACTTGTTACATGGACAGGAGCAAAGACCACAGAATTTTCCTAGATCGTTCAAATTCTTTTCTGCATCCTTCATGTCCTTATTGATTTGGTCCATTCCTTCTTCGATGCGCTCCAGTTGCTCTGATTAAACACAAGTAATTTATCCCCCACAGAACGAAGCACGTGAGAAGAAAAGGAAAGGAAAGAAAGAAAGGAAGGAAGGAAGGAAGGAAGGAGGAGAGAAGACAAAGAAGAGAAGACAACAGATTCAGACACTCACTGTGACGAAAAGGGAAAAAACTGGACGCCACCACATAGTGAAGAACCTTTGGGCTCGTTGGGTCAGTACCTACTTGTTACAGGGACATATGAAAAGGCCACAGCATTTCCCTAAATCTTTTAAAGTTTTTTCGGCCTCCTTCATGTCTTGGTTGATATGGTTCATGCCATCTTCAACACGATCGAGTTGTTCTGGTCAGGACAAAGGGATGACAGCAGTGGAATGAACTTTATTGACTATTTGACAGAAATATATGAGTCATGAGCAGCACTGAGCTGTGTACAGTATGATATCATCTATATGAGTTTCATTGAGTGCATGTATCAGTACACTGGTAGAATATGTGATGGATCTTTACGCCAGAGAGTACTGGGTACTGAATAAAGTTAAGACTGAGACAGTCAGTTTCAATATATTCTTTTGAATTTCATTTGACAGAAGCCTTTTAGTGTTAAAAAGTATGCAACAAATATATTAGTGGTTTATTAATCATTGGCTAAGGGGAAACAATTACAATTCTAAAGATATCATCAAAGGTTTGCCATGGCTGTAGCATCATGGAAACCTGGGGCAAATCTGAAATCCTACCGATCCTATACTACAGTACCATTCCCCTAGGAGATGAGCCGTTCATGGGCAGTGTGGTCATTGGGGCAAGGCATGGACATGGTGAAGGGAGCTGGATGGGCCTTATTGGTGTGGTGTGGGGCAGGGTTGGGGTCAATTCAGTTATCAATACAGTAAATTCAGCAGAAAGTGTATCATGAATTAAAATGGACAATGTTTTGTGTGAGGATTTTTCAACTTATAAATTGCATTTCAATTAATTCCCCGCAATGAATTAATTGAAAACTAAATTCACCTTAACCCTGGTGTGGGAGGGGATTAATGCTACTGGGTGGGTAGGTGGGTGGACGGACGTATGAATTATGTGCAGTATGTGTTATAGTAAATTGAGGTTGGAAAGTAGAGTAGAGTAGGTCCGGAATGCAGTAAAGGCTAAGCCCATTGATAATGTCCACCTTTGTAAAATCCCTGGCATGCTTTTATACACACATACTGTAGAAACAATTCAGTCATGTGACCTTTACTTGAACAGTGGAGAATAAGAAGAACGTCAGATTAAAATAAGGTAATGTTGAACGGGTGTTTTTTTCACTCTATCAAAATAATCAATTTCTTTGCTAGTGGAACATTCATTCACAAACCCTATATTTTTCTTCCCACTTTTAATTTAATTTAATTCTGTGATTAATTCATGCCTTGTGCATCAGTCCAGGCTTCTCCACTACGGCACCGTCATTAAGCGGAAGTCAGAGAGCAGCTAAACAGGTTTACACCTCAGCGTCCAGCCAGCCGTCTAAATTGGCTTTGTGGAGGCAACGCTGGACATATGGACTGCGGAGGGGGAGGGATGAGTGGATAGAGAGATGATAGCGGGATGAGCAGATGACAGTGAGAGTGTAATTAAGGTCCTCAGACAGGGGTATTTCCCCAAGAGGCACTGATCACTGCAGTCTCACCAGCCAATCAGAAGGCTGGATTGAGGCTAATGCCTTCCGGCAAGACAATTATGTCCTCTAATCAATCCCTCCAAGCAAAACAAACCAGTGTTAATGCCAATTAGCTTCACCTGAACCAGGGTTTAGGCCCTGTTATTATAAATAACATTTGTTATTGGTCAATATCAGGTGTAAATCATGTCTATATTCTTTGTGTGCGTTATAGAGTACATAACAAGACTATAAGGAATGTGGATAACACAGTGGTCCTTTAGTGCAGTACAGTATGTGGTAGCCCTTTCCTGCAGTCAATGACCAAAAGCGCCCTCTTTGGCCTCATGAGTGGAATGGTATTAATATTTTTCATAATTTAATCATTAATAAAGATGTCTTTTTTTTTTTTGGGGGGGGGGGGGGGGGGGTCAAAATCTGGTGTTTCTATGTCAAACAGTTTTGTCATATTTCAGTCTTCTGTGATGTATATTAAGTGTAATATTGGGATGCAAACTCAAAATGTAATACATTTCAACTCTATATCTGACATGGTACAGGTGTCGTCTTCTTTTAAGCCCATAACCATGTATGAAAATGTATGCACTCACTAACTGTAAGTCGCTCTGGATAAGAGCGTCTGCTAAATGACAAAAATGTGAAAAATGTAAATATACTGTTGTTTCAAAGTAGATTTGTTTAAGACTACCAAGAATCACTCTGTGTGACCCTGATTTAGCCCACTGCAGTAAAAGGTTAAACAAGTTTACTTGTCCTAAATGTGTCCGTGCATCTACTACTGTGTTTGTAAACTGCATTTAACCAGGGATGATACAAAAGTGTGTTAAATTGTTAGTGTGTAAATCCATGGGAGAAGGAGGGGGAATTTTGTCGTTACCAGCTAAATCGATCGTTTGTTTACTTCCCCCCACTTTGAGCTATAACCTGTTTCATCACTACATCTTTGATATGCTGACCTGCTTGCTTTTGGGTTGGTAGCCTTTTAGGGACAAGCCTCCACGACTGGGAGAGGTGACCCAAATGATGGATAAGTGGGCTTCTCTAATTCAACTTTTGGCACAGAAATGTAAACAAGATTTAAACATAGGGTGGTTGTTGGGGTGTTTGGCCTGAGAATGGCCCAATGATCCTTGCATTTGAATGTTCAATGTGTCCTTGTTGTCTTTGGGGTACGAAAGTACCGAAAGAAAAACTGTTAGCAAAACCAAAGAAAAGATGTTAGCAAAATCAAAGAATATAAGTTACGGAAAGCAAAGTATTTAAGTTAGCGAAAGCAAAGTATTGAAGTTAGCGAAACCAAGGTAAGGAAGTTAGCGAGCCAAATAAAAGCTGTTTAGCTCACCAAGAAAAATGCAGTTGGCAAACAAAACTAAAAGTTAGAAAACAAAGAAAAATAATAATTGTTAGCTTGTTTTTCAGCTTTCAAACGAATTGTTGACCTTGACCAGAGGAAATCATAATAAAGCACGCATTAAGGAAGAAATAAAAATGTATGAAAATCATTGTTTCGAGGGGGAGATGGAGAAAAAAAGTTTTGTTAGGAATTGGCACTTAATGGATACGAGCAATTGCACAGCAAACAATTCAACCATCAAGAATATCTCTGTTCGTTTACATGGGTATCTAAAATATAACTATATGAGTGTTTTTGTACCTTCATCCATATATCTGTCTATTTCAATGTACAAAGCACTTGAAAATAACTCAAGTTGAAATATAAAGTCGAATCTGTCATTCTAGCTAACTACTTCAAAGCATGCACTATTAAGTTATTCATAGCAAAACATCAGATGCAAGGCGGGGCACGAAGTCCCATTGGTTTTCCCTTCTAGAAGACATCCAACACTTACCTCCTTGCTCGTCCAACATAACCAAAGTCCTGATACCAGCATCTTTACTCTACTCCCCAACAACCGTGGAGAAGAGAGGTGAAGAAGGAAGGGATGAATGGAAGGAAATAAAGAGAGAGAGAGGGGTGTGATCAGTAAGAGAGTATATAGAAGCCATATAGATTGGAGATTAGAGGGCAAGGCAACATGATAGAAAAACAGGATGACGTCATCAGAAAGAAACACTTCAAGCTTTAGACAAAGTTAGACCGAGGTCTTGCGATTTGCTTGACTAAAAAAATCTCACAATAGGAGTAACATTGTCCGAATCGCAACAGTCTGAGAATATTAGCATATTTGTATAGTTTCTGATGTGATTTTAGGATGGATTTGCTTGACCCCTCGGTGTTACGGTTTGGTGATTAATGTTATAGGTGTTTATGTTTAATGTTGTAGATGTAGAGGGAACATGTTACCGTGCTGTGATAGAAAGTGGCGTATATTCATTAGAGTCAGAGGTTAAAGGTCAGGGTAAATTATCCCTTTGGTATGACACATTGCAAATAGCTCCCAGTGGGATACATAAAGTTTAGCTGACATACAAATACATTTTTTTTTTTTTTATCTTAAAGGAAAAGCTTTACATCAGACTGAAATCTGATAATAATGCCTATTTCGGAGGTTTAAGCCTAATAGTTTAAGCCTTTTTTTTCGTACAGTAGCCTATGTACTGCTGCTATTCGATATGGATGCAAGATCATTTCCAGATCTTTGTTGGCTTTCACCAATCCCAGCAGTGAATTAACGTACACTTGGAGACCTTGGGGTTCTGAAACGACATGAATAGCCAGCCAACACTAACCCTGTTACTAATCGATTGGGTTTAGATACAGATACAGTATCAACCTCTGGCCAGTGTGCAAGGTGGCAAAGGCTAACAAAACAAAACCATCCTGATATCCTAGAGACTTTATTTTCTTTCTGCTGTTTTTCAATTCTTGCCTGACTAAGAAACATGGCACCTGGTGTGGAGATAGGCAGCATAAATAAGCCTCCTCTCTCCCTTGCAGTTTACAAGGAAGAGAGCATCAACGTTTGGGGGCAAGCAATTAGCAGCGCATAAATATTTTTTTACATTTTTATCTAGAGCCCCAGGTAGCCTAGGGGATTCGAACAAGCAACCTTTTGGTTACTGGCCCAACAATCTTAACCCCTAGGCTACCTGTCGCCCTATAATTTCTTCTGTAAATTAGCATTCCGGTTCCCAGAGAAATCCCAAAGTAGTTCAAATGACTCTCAGGGGTCTCCTTGGAATAATCAAATACGATCCCCATACTGCACTGCACTGAACCCCTCAGCTCTGCTCAACACTACCACCTTATGCAAACCATATAGATGGAGATAGATACACCTTGATTCCATCATTATGTATTTGGAAATGCCGTTGCTTGTTTATTTGTATGAAAAATAAAATGTTCTCACTTATTTCTTATGATGATAGAGTGAGAGAGACAATAACTATAATCAAATAGAATCTGTGCTCTGGCCCAGTGGGGTGATACACTCTTATTGCTGAACAATTATGACACATAATCATCTGATTAATCATAGCAGTCTGACTAATGTTTCCCTCTCTTCCTCTCTCTCACATGCTCTATAGCTCCCTCTCTCCACTATCCTTCTTTTTCTCCTCTTTCGTCTTCCCTTTCGTCAGACAGCCCCTCCCTCTATCTTCACCCACACTCGTCTGTTTGTCACGTCCGAGGTGCTGGTATCTTTCTCTCCATCTCTTCCTCTCTCTACACTTCTCTCCCTCTCTCCCTCTCTTCCTCCAGTGTCAGGGAGGCGCTGTGCTGTTCGGTGAGATATCTGAACTGATGATCAATATGACCTTGAGATATGCAACACTGGACTGTCATCAGAGACATCATGGCCCTTCCCCAACAGCTGTCAACGCTCTCTCTCTCTCTCTCTCTCTGTCTCTCTCTCTCTCTCTCCTCTGATTTCTCTCATATGATCTCTCTCTTCTGATCGCTCTCTCTCTCTCCAGTCTTCCTACCAAGATAACATTTCAACTCTCAACAGTGTTCATTGAACACCTTATTAGTGGGCCTCATATGTACACTGTGAAAGTTCTACATTTAACACTCTCCGAGTTAAATGTGCACCAGTGAATATGCTGTGCCAGGCAGATGTGTACATGTGAGAACACACAGTGTCTTACCCATGTCAATACCATGCACTGTTCTGAGGCAGATACAGCACACTGAGAGCTGTGACACAGCTTGCATTGTATTCTGGCTTGGCGTTGTGAACACTATAAGTATGAATGGTGTCTTACCTCTTCCACCAGCTGTAGCATACGACGAGTGCTCTCGAGCGACTGTGGACAGAAAGGAGAAGAAACGTTCGATTGGAAAGCATCAGAAGACATGACAGATATGAGTGGAGATAGAGATGTAGGTTCACAAAGCTCCATTTGGTCTAGACATCACTCCCTATGTTTGGGAAATGGAATTGCCTGGAATTGGGACGTAGACACTGGAATCGATTACCAATACAATCAACATGATACTACAATCAACATGATATTCATTTGCAAAGCGAATAAATTATCTGTAATTTCATACATATTTCATTAATTTGAAAATTATAATATAATGTGTATCAGTAGGTTGAATTAACCATCATGGCAAACATAGAACTCTGATGTAGCTACCCGCAAAAGGGAGTCAGTCAGTTATAAGATATGGTTTCTTTAGAGGCACAGAAACCATCACAACTATACTGTGGAAAAAATACATTTCAAGATTTGGAAGTATTAATGAACTTGTACTGTAAATGTATTTTAATTCAAATAAGATTTTAAAAAATAATGCTTCTAATTTTTTGTATAATTCAAAGCGATAAAACCCTGTCTTTAAATAACTGCATAAACTCTGCTTTGATGGCTTAGGATCAATTTCCCAGCCCCCTTCTCAACCTCTCCAATTGATGACCAGCTGGCCAGCTAGTGAGCAAGCAAACGATAGCGACATGTTCCAATTTTCTCTCTAAATAGAGTGCATTAAGCGTGTGTCTGTGAGGCTCTGGCTGTCCTGAGGCTTTGGGGTGGCTGCAGCCTGGATCGGCTCTGTGAGGCAGCTCACTGCACTGCTGAGCCCCTGGGAGAGGGGAGAGGAGAGGGGAGAGTGGGGAGACACAGCCCGGGCACACAGCCTGAGCCTCAACTCTGTAACGTTTACAGTAGCCTCTCCTCTCCTCCTACCAAAATACAAACTTTTCAAATACTCGAGGTAGTCGAATATACACTACCGTTCAAAAGTCTAAGGTCACTTTGAAATGTCCTTGTTTTCCAAGAAAACATACATGAAATGAGTTTGAATTGGAAATATAGGAAAATGCATAGGAAATGTAGTCATTGACAAGGTTAGAAATAATGATTTTTAATCTAAATAATCATTGTGTCCTTCAAACTTTGCTTTCATCAAAGAATCCTCCATTTGCAGCAATTACAGCCTTGCAGACCTTTGGCATTCTAGTTCTCAATTTGTTGAGGTAATCTGAAGAGATTTCACCCCATGCTTCCTGAAACACCTCCCACAAGTTGGATTGACTTGATGGGCTCAAGCTGCTCCCACAACAGCTCAATAGGGTTGAGATCCGGTGACTGTGCTGGCCACTCCATTATAGACAGAATACCAGCTGACTGCTTCTTCCCTAAATAGTTATTGCATAGTTTGGAGCTGTACTTTGGGTCATTGTCCTGTTGTAGGAGGAAATTGGCTCCAATCAAGCACCGTCCACAGGGTATGGCATGGCGTTGCAAAATGGAGTGATAGCCTTCCTTCTTCAAGATCCCTTTTACCCTGTATAAATCTCCCACCTTACCACCACCAAAGCACCCACAGACCATCACATGGCCTCCACCATGCTTGACAGATGGCATCAAGCACTCCTCCAGCATCTTTTAATTTGGTCTGCGTCTCACAAATGTTCTTCTTTGTGATCCGAACACCTCAAACTTCTATTTGTCTGTCCATAACACTTTTTTCCAATCTTCCTCTGTCCAGTGTCTGTGTTCTTTTGCCCATCTTAATCTTTTATTTTTATTGGCCAGTCTGAGATATGGCTTTTTCTTTGCAACTCTGCCTAGAAGGTCAGCATCCCGGAGTTGCCTCTTCACTGTTGACGTTGAAACTGGTGTTTTGCGGGTAATATTAAATGAAGCTGCCAGTTGAGGACCTGTGAGGCGTCTGTTTCTCAAATTAGACACTCTAATGTATTTGTCCTCTTGCTCAGTTGTGCACCGGGGCCTCCCACTCCTCTTTCTATTCTGGTTAGAGCCAGTTTGCGCTGTTCTGTGAAGGGAGTAGTACACAACGTTGTACGAGATCTTCAGTTTTTTGGCAATTTCTCGCATGGAATAGCCTTCATTTCTCAGAACAAGAATAGACTGACAAGTTTCAGAAGAAAGTTCTTTGTTTCTGGCCATTTTGATTATGTAATCGAACCCACAATTGCTGATTAAACTAAATAATGGCGCCGGAGAGGATGGCTGCCAATTTACAGCCTTCTAACCAATTCTACTATTATGTGTGTTTTTTGGCGTTATTTGTAATTTATTCTGTACATAATGTTTCTGCCACCGTCTGTTATGACCAAAAAGAGCTTCTGGATATCAGGACAGCGATTACTCACCTCGTATTGGACAAAGATTCTTTCTTCAACTCAAGGAAACTATTTTCTTTAATATTCAAATACAGGTCTCACAAAACCAAATAATATTTGAAAGTATTTTGAATACCTCTCAGAAAACCAAATATTTGAAGGTATTTGAATATATGCAAGTTATAAAACAATATATACAGTGTCAGTCAAAAGTTTGGACACACCTACTCATTCAAGGGTTTTTCTTAATTTTTACTATTTTCTACATTGTAGAATAATAGTGAAGACATTAAAACTATGAAATAACACATATGGAATCATGAAGTAACCAAAAAAGTGTTAAACAAATCAAAACATATTTTATATTTGAGATTCTTCAAACAGCCACCCTTTGCCTTGATGACAGCTTTGCACACTCTTGGCATTCTCTCAACCAGCTTCATGAGATAGTCACCTGGAATGCATTTCAATTAACAGGTGTGACTTCTTAAAAGGTAATTTGTGGAATTTCTTTCCTTCTTAATGCATTTGAGCCAATCAGTATATCAAATCCAATCAAATCAAATCAAATTTTATTCGTCACATACACGTGTTTAGCAGATGTTATAGCGGGTGTATTACTAACAAGTAATATCTAACAATTTCACAACATATACCTAATACACACAAAACTAGTAAGGAATGGAATTTAAGAAAATATACATATATGGACAAGCAATGACAGAGCGGCATGGACTAAAATACAGTATAATATTATAGAATAGAATGCAGTATATACATGAGATGAGTAGTGCAAGATATGCAAACATTATTAAAGTGACTGTTAATATTATTGAAGTGACAGAAGATAGCCCTATTTGGTGAAAGACCAAGTCCATATTATGGCAAGAACAGCTCAAATAAGCAAAGAGAAATGACAGTCCATCATTACTTTAAGACATAAAGGTCAGTCAATACGGAACATTTCAAGAACTTTGAAAGTTTCTTCAAGTGCAGTCGCAAAAACCATCGAGCGCTACGATGAAACTGGCTCTCATGAGGACCGCCACAGGAATGGAAGACCCAGAGTTACCTCTGCTGCAGAGGATAAGTTCATTAGAGTTATCAGCCTCAGAAATTGCAGCCCAAATAAATGCTTTACAGAGTTCAAGTCACAGACACATCTCAACATCAACTGTTCAGAGGGGACTGTGTGAATCAGGCCTTCATGGTCGAATTGCTGCAAAGAAACCACTATTAAAGGACACCAATAAGAAGAAGAGACTTGCTTGGGCCAAGAAACACGAGCAATGGACATTAGACCGGTGGAAATGTGTCCTTTGGTCTGGAGTCCAAATTGGAGACTTTTGGTTCCAACTTTGTGAGACGCGGTGTGGGTGAACGGATGATCATGTGTAGTTCCCACCGTAAAGCATGGAGGAGGAGGTGTTACGGTGTGGGGGTGCTTTGCTGGTGACACTGTCTGTGATTTATTTAGAATTCAAGGCACACTTAACCAGCATGGCTACCACAGCATTCTGCAGCAATACGCCATCCCATCTGGTTTGGGACTATCATTTGTTTTTCAACAGGACAATGACCCAACACACCTCCAGGCTGTGTAAGGGCTATTTTACCAAGAAGGAGAGTGATGGAGTGCTGCATCAGATGACCTGGCCTCCACAATCTCCCGATCTCAACCCTATTGAGATGGTTTGGGATGAGTCGGACCGCAGAGTGAAGGAAAAGCAGCCAACAAGTGCTCATCATATGTGGGAACTCCTTCAAGACTGTTGGAAAAGCATTCCAGGTGAAGCTGGTTGAGAGAATGCCAAGAGTGTGCAAAGCTGTCATCAAGGCAAAGGGTGGCTATTTGAAGAATCTCAAATATAAAACATATTTTGATTTGTTTAATACTTGTTTGGTTACTACTTGATTCCATATGTATTAGTTCATAGTTTTGATGTCTTCACTATTATGTAGAAAATAGTACAAAAGAAAGAAAAACCCTGGAATGAGTAGGTGTGTCCAAACTTTTGACTGGTACTGTATATAATTTATGCCAAATATGTGATGAAGAACCAAAAACTACAACAGTTAGTTGAATTAGTCTAAATGTATGATCATAAGCAGATGGTTTGGAGGTATCTTAGATATGAATCTTAATATAGCCTATAGCCTATAATGTAATACATGAGGGACATGGAATCATCTCAATGTTAGAGTAGACCACTTTTGCAGCTTCAAAATAACTAACAAATCATATTTAAAACTATAATTATCCCAGGTCTGGCACACACACAAACTAACTAACACTCATCCACACACACACACAAACTAACATTTATCCACACACACACGTGCAAGCACACACACACACACACACACACAAACAAACACTTATCCACACACACACAAACTAACACTTATCCACACATACACACACCCGCATGCAAGCACACACACACGCACACTTCACGATTACTTAAGACCGGATGCAGTTGGACCCTCCCTCCACCTGACACACAGACTCTGTTATCGCACAGTCAGAGCCGGGAGCTGTGAGCCCGAGGCTGGGGCCAACAGCATGTTACTGTACCCTCCCTGTGCGTCTGCCCTGCTAGTCCTCTACAGGAGCTGGCTGCTGCTGCCAGGAGGAAGTCATCTAGTGGGCTATCCTATGGCAATGTGTGATACTGTCAAATGTATTCGGAAAAAAACATGCTCAGACATTTTAGGTGGAAGAAGGATTTGACTGGATCTGTTTTTGTTGATTTTATGTCAAGAGGAGAGTGAGGAATTCATATATCATAAATTTGATAGCTAAAACACACAGATGCTTTTATTTTAAGCTCTTTTCAGATGATTTTTAAGTGTAGTTGCATATGCCTCAATTTTGATGATTTTCTGTGTAGGCTTGAGTGTCTCTCAGGTGTCTAAAAATCTGTGGTAAACAGTAGCATGGGTTGGGGCTGTGCTGCTCACCTCATCTCCGAGCTGGTCGGCGCGTTGCTGCATATCCGACAGCTCATTGCGCATGTCCAAGTCTTCAGCCATGGCTACTGGCTGTGCGGGGTGGAGCTGGTTTCCAACGGGGAAGAGTAGGTTCTAATGGGAGGCCGGGGATAGGCTAGAGGAGGAAGGGAGATACAAAACAACAGCCATTAGCATGCTAAGCTAAATAATATCCTTTAGCACAATAAGCTTAGCAACAGTCTTTAGCACTGTAAGCTAAACAATAGTCTTTAGTCTGCTAAGCTAACTGACGTAATTTAGCCTGCTATGCTAAGCAACCGCCTTTAGCATGCTAAGGTAAGCTAAACAAGTATGTTCCCTGAGCGAAGGCTACATTTCAGTGTCCATACTAGAATACCACAAAATACATGAGTGTACAAAACATAAGGAACACCTTTGTAATATTGAGTTGCACCCCCTTTTGCCCTCAGAACAGCCTCAATTTTTTGGGGCATGGACTCTACAAGGTGTCGAAAGAGTTCCACAGGGATGCTGGCCCATGTTGAATCCAATACTTCCCACAGTTGTGTCAAGTTGTCTGGCTGTCCTTTGGGTGGTGGACCATTCTTGATACACATGGGAAGTTGTTGAGCGTAAAAAACCCAGCTGCGTTGCAGTTCTTGACACACTCAAACCAGTGCACCTGGCACCTACTACCATACCCCGTTCAAAGGCACTTACTTTTGTCTTGCCCATTCACCCTCTGAATGGCACACATACACAATCCATTTCTCAATTATTTCAAGGCTTAAAAATCCTTCTTTAACCTGTCTCCTCCCCTTCATCTACACTGATTGAAGTGGATTTAATACTGTAAGGTATCATAGCTTGAAGTGGATTTAATAAGGGATCATAGCTTTCACCTGGATTCACCTGGTCAGTCTATGTCATGGAAAAGTTTGTACATTCAGTGAATATTGCTTCAGTGCACTGCTAGTGCGAATATTTCAGTCTTTTTGGGAAGGGTGCAACATCATGGATCTTTATGAGATGTGTTTTTGCCCAATGTCACAGTAATTTACTGTGAATCTACCCAGTTTTTGCCCCCAAAACAAATATGTTTTGTTTGATCTCATAAGCGTTGTCTCTATTTTCTTGGATCTCAAGTGAACAAATGGCAGTCTCTTTCCAGCTGCACTTAGAACCCAGTATAATAGAGGATTAGAGACTGCAACTGCGTTTGTTCCACTCAATGAAAGGGAAGCGGAGCCATTGATCTTTGCAGAAGCATGGCAGTCTTAGAGAGTCGTGTCGATTGAATAGTGTGGATTAGCTAGCTAGCACACCAGACATAAACAGCCTGCTGTAAGCCTGTCCTATGTTCTCCTGTAGACAAGCATCATGAGAGGTTCAATCACACACTAGACAGGGGTTTGATCCTTCCTCAGCAGCACCCACCCACATTAACTAAGGGAATGATCACATTAATTGATTAACTTGCTGTAGCTCAGTTGGTAGAGCATGGCTCTTGCAATGCCAGGATAGTGGGTTTGATTCCCGGGATCACCCATATGTTAAAAATGTATGCGTGCAAGTCATTTTGGAAAATAGTCAGCTAAATGGCATATAATATATAATACAAAATAAGTGCAATCATAATGGTATGCCAGCAGCATATCTCACTGCTAGCTTGCCTCTGTGGGATGAAGGGTGGTCCCTGAATGGGAAACCAGATGCTGCCGAAAGTGGTGTTGGAGGGCCAGTAGGGGGCACTCTTCCCTCTGGTCTAAGGAGAGCCCAATACCCCAGGGCAGTGAAGGGGACATTGCCCTGCGTAGGGTGCAGTCTTTCGGATGGGATGTTAAACGGGCGTACTGACTCTCTGTGGTCATTGTAAATCCCACGGCACTTATCGTAAGAGTAGGGGTGATAAATCTGGTCCTATTCCATCATGGCCACCTAATCATCCCCCTCATTCCTAATTGGCATATATCACTCCTCACCTCTCCACCTGATACAGATATAGGATCTTAATTTGAGCTAGTTTGAAACAGCAGGAAAATAATCCTACAGCAAATGTACGTTTTTCGTAAGGGAAAATCAAGTCTGAAATTCCAAAGTGAAAATTACAAACCTCAGAAACCTTTTTAAACCTCAAACACACTACAAGTTTAAAATGTCCTGCATTGCAGGAAAGTCCTCCCTCAACAGGCTGATCAAATTAAGATCCTACATCTGTAGCTGATGTGTGGTGAGCGTTTAGGCACAAAATGGTCGGCGTGCATCACCCAGGTGGGTGCCGCACATTGGTGGTCGATGAGGTGAGTTTCCCCCTACTTTGTAAAGTGCTTTGTGTATCTCAGTTGGTAGATAAGCGCTATATACTGTAAATCCAACCAATTATGCCACAACATATTGGTAGTTAATTTGAGACAGTTTGCTACAGCAGGAAAATAATCCTGAAGCAATAGGAAATTTGGATTATAATAGGGGTTGATCCATTTTTGGTAAGGGAAAATCAAGTCTGAAATTTCAAAGTGGAATTTACAAACTTCAGAAGCCTTTTTAAAGGTCTAATGCAGCCATTTTGATCTCAATATCAAATCATTTCTGGGTAACAATTAAATACATTACTGTGATTGTTTTCAATTAAAATTGTCAAAAATAAACAAAAATAGATTCTTAGCAAAAAGCAATTTCTCAAGCAAAGATTTAGCTAGGACTCTCTGGGAGTGGGGAGGGGAAAACTGAAAACTAGCTGGTATTGGCAAAGAGGCTTGGAACTCTCTTGGTCTATTAGCTAATTTACCCCCTGGTGATGTCACCAGGAAAGCCAAACTCCATCTGACCAAAACAGGCTGAAACTTCCGAACAGTCTTTTTTTAAACAGCTCTTACACTAAAAGGGCATTTTCATAATTTTCACAATTTCACAGTATTATTCCAACCTCATAAGGTGGATATATATATATATAACACAGAACATACATGTTTTTGACAGCACTGGGCTTTTAAACCTCAAATGTACAAGTTTTACATTTCCTGAATTGCAGGAAAGTTCTTCTGCAACAGGGTGATCAAATTAAGATCCTACATCTGTACCCTTCACAGGTTCCGTTGATTACTATAATATATCATCTCTGCAAGGGTAACCTAACAACAATAAAATATTCACCAAAGTGAGAGTCAATGTTAAAGATGTGTATTAGTGTACAATATTGTGTGTCAGAGAGTGTATCATTGTTCGTGACTAAGGAGTGAGGAGGGCATCTATAGATGTAGGATCTTAATTTGAGATAGTTTGCTACAGCAGGAAAATAATTATACAGCAACAGGAAATGTGAATTATTATGTGGATTACAATTAATGGACATTTTTGTAGGAGTTGATACATTTTTTGTCAGGGCAAATCAAGTCTTTCATTTCAAAGTGGAAATGACAAACTTTAGAAGCCTTTTAAAAACTCAAATACACTACAAGTTTGCATTTCCTACTGTGCAGGAAAATCCTCAGCAACAAAAGAGTGATCAATTTAAGCAGAGGCTCAATCAAGCTAGTCATCTTGACTACTTTCTTATGTTATTCTTCCTGGCACCTAAAGTAAAAAAAGTGTTGAAAGTGGACAGAATGCGGTCGGACCATCATATAATTGGCATACACATTACTCTTACGGAATTTCCAAGTGGGCGAGGATATTGCCAACTGGATGACAATTTGACTTTTTCCTACTTAACTTAGGTATAGCAGATCCCCTTATTGTATAGGACACTTTCAAATGTGTCTTTAGAGTCCATGCAATTCAATACTGATCTTTCAAACAAAAACAATTTAGGTCAAAATAATTCATATTAACAAAGGAAATAGAGGAACTAACAGTACAGTGAGGAGGCAATAATAAAAACTGTACCATAGAGGCACATAATAAGTTAGAGGAAAAACAGAAAGAACTGGAGGAACTTATTCAAGAAAGATCAAGTGTAATATATTATAAAAATAAAGCGAACTGGATTGCATATGGTGAAAAATGCACCAAATTATTTTTTTACCTTCAACATAGAAATACTACCAAAAATGATTTACTGAAACTTGTTACAAATGATGGTGTCATCCATGATTTACCAAACAATATTTTGAAAGAGGAAGCAAAGTACTTTATTAAGCATATGTTTTAATTTCAGTCTTCTACTAACTGAAGTTCATTGTAAGGATTTTTTTCAATTAATAGTGTAAAATGAACACCTGTACAGAAAGACTCATGCGAAGGACAAATTACAGAGGAGGAACTTACTGATGCAATTAAAGCCTTTAAACCCGGGAAAACTCCAGGGCTGGATGACATGCCAGTTGAGGTATATCCAACCATTTTCAATGGACTCAAAAGTCCGTTATTAGCATGTTTTAACCACTCCTATGAAAATGATAGACTTTCAGACACTCAGCAAGAAGGTCTGATTTCAGTATTACTGAAACAGGACCCCGGTGGTAAGTATAAAGATCCAGTCCACCTAAAAAAAACTGGAGGCCATTTACACCTCAGAATTATAGCAAAATGCATAACGCAAAGAATTAAAAAGGTATTGTCGAATATTATTCATCCTAATCAAACAGTTTTTTTCACATGGACGATAGACACATTGGAGATAATATAAGACAAGTACTGGAAACAATAGAACACTATGAAAAATCTGGAAAACCAGGCCTGGTATTCATAGCTGATTTTGAAAAGGCCTTTGATAAAGTATAACTAGAATTTATATATAAATGCCTGGACTATTTTAATTTTGGAGAATCTCTTATATAATGGGTTAAAGTTATGTATTATAACCCTAGGTGGAAAACAGTAAATAATGGCAACTTCTCAGAAAGTATTAAACTGACAAGAGGAGTAAAACAGGGTTGTCCACTATCATCATATCTATTTATTATGGCCATCGAAATGTTAGCTATTAAAATCAGATCCCACAAAAATATAAAGGGGCTAGAAATCCAGGGCTTAAAAATAAAGGTGTCATTGTATGCTGACAATTCATGTTTTCTTTTAAAACCTCAATTTGGATCCCTGCACAGCCTCAAAGAGGATCTACAGTGCATTTGGTAAGTATTCAGACTCCTTCCTTTTTCTACATCTTGTTACGTTACAGTCTTACTCTAAAATGTATTAAATCAAAAAAGCCCCCC